GGTGAGGGCGAGTTCCAGCAGTGACGGATCATGATTGAAATTAATATGTGTCGGTTTTGTGATACATTGTACAAATGCACACTGAATAACGGTAGATAAAAGGTCGCTATCGAAACCACTACCTGCAGCTGTAAGATCTACCCAGTTGATATGCGGTGAGTTGAAGTCCCCAATGATGAGACAACATTCTGCCTTACTCCGAGAACAGATGAGTCTGAGGATAAAGTCGTCAGCAAGACAAGACGGACTACGGTATATTCCCCCTATAGTCACTAACCCATTTCTAGATTTAATCTTACAACATGCAACCTCACATGTGCCACTGATATGAGCCTCCGATATGGTTGATTGTATACGAAAGTGATCCCTAACGTAAAATATTATACCTCCCTCTTTGCGACTTGAAACTCTATCACTTCTAATACAGATATAGCCTGCAATGAAAGGAAAACAGTTTATATATACTGTGAACCAAGTTTCTGTAACAACGATTATATCGGGACATAATTCTTCCACCATCAGTCTTAGCTCGGATGTTTTATTTCTAAGACTACGAACGTTCGTGTAGCACACACTTAAGGTGTTTTGGAAATCAATTGTTCCACCCATACAGGCCTCAGAAGCATTGGCTTCCAAGACCTGACTACCCGAAAACCCTTAATGGTAAGGTTAATTTCGCCAACTCTATAAGATCATTCTTCCACTTGATTCGATCCTCAAGCGGTCAATCTGGTCGAATACGGATATTTGAGTCACGAATTTTTAGTGCGTTTTTCAATAATATATCTTTCTTCAAAACTCCCGAGAATCAGCTTCAGGATTCTTCTTGGTTGGGTCTCGCCTCCAACCGATTAACCAAGTTGTACTACTTTTGTAATATGTACTCCTGAAACCTCTTTAGGTAGTACAATCCTTACCACAGACTCCACTAACTGCAGGTCATGTGCATGTCTTCTAGCAGGGTCTTTGTCTTTCGACTCCTCTAGATTCCAAATAATTAAACTAGGGAGGGGTTTAGGTTCTTTTGAAACTGTGTTCACAGCTTTCGACCGTGACGATAGATCTTGTATATTAACTACTGGTATCTTACGATTAGCTTTTATTGTAACAGAGTCCTGTGAGTGACTCACAACAATGTTAGACGAAGCTTTACTTTGGAGCTTTGGCGGATTGGTTTGAGAGTCCACCAAGGACTTATCAAGTAAACAGTCATTAGTTTAGCTGTCTTTCCTGCTCTTCTGCGTTTCCGTGTCATCCATAATCCATCAGTCGTAGCATCCACATTAGAACCACTCGGGACAGTAATTGTTTTATCTGGGTCACCGGTTGCTGCTGTAGCAACATGGCCACCAATATCTAATGAGGTGTCATTCACTGATTGTTTCGGGGTAGACGGTTTAATAGCAGGTTGCACAGTTAGATGTCTGGCTTGCACCGCGACAGCACTTACGACACTAACTCAATCTTTCGCCATCAGTACCAATGTTGCCAGTACAGCCCTTATCAACCTTCTTATTACCCAACACCAGAAGACGAATTGCTACCTGGATAAGCAATGTTATGCTCCAGCAACAAAAACCGCAACGCCAATGAGAGTTGGGCTTTGAGCACCTTTTATATGCAGTGGGCCTTAATCGGGTGCACATCTTATGGAACCACTTATTACACTCATCACATTGCATCCCTTCATCCACGCGGAATAAGCAGTATGGTTGTCCACATTTATGAGTAGACCTAGCCATCTTGAAAATCAACTAGAACGGTGACAAAAACAGGATATGTAGAAGGATTATCAAACCTTAACTAAATAAACCAAGTAAAGGTCGACCAAGTATGCTTCGATGCAATAAATACACAGAAGCAAAATCGAAAAACTCAATAAAATATCACTTTAACGGGGTAGATGCAATTAAAGTGTAAACAGTAGTTTTGATGCGTAATTTACGATCAAAACAGTTAATTAACTCAACGAGAAACAATACCACTGTCCTTTTTAGATAACGCGCGTGTTTATATTACGTGTTCTGGTAGAGAATTCCGGTAATGCACTACTCGATGCAAGAAATAAAACTCATAGACGATTTAATCTCGGTTTTTGAACTTTCGTCGAAGAAAATCTCCGCTTAGTGAGTTTTCGAATAGTCAGATTTTGGAGGTGAATGCTACGAGGGCCTGTGTGGATAGAACGTTCTCGCTAGTAGTTTTATATGCCAATGCTCGTAGTCTAAGAAATAAATTCTTTGAACTAGGGGCATTAGTGGGCAAATTAAAGCCATTCATTGTAGCCGTGACGGAAACTTGGTTAGTCCATATCTTCGGCATTACTCCAGAATTATCCGATTACCAAGAAGTAATACTACTACTAATAATAATACATGATAGACATAGATGTAGGAAAGGAGGTGGTGTCCTTTTATACATGGGCAATAATATAAATATCCGCTCCTTTACTTGCGAATCCCATGACAGTGGGACTTGTGAAGTCATTAGCTGTGAGTCGACTACCGGATGTTGTACATTTATACTCGGTGTCATCTATCACAGCCAAATCTGCTAAGCTGATGACTTCATTTTAGAGCACATTCAGTTATGGAGTGAGAATAACAGATGCTTGATATTAGGAGACTTTAGTGCACCCGATATTAGTTGGACTGAGATAGTACGTAAGTAAGTTATAAGGTCATAGACTCGATAAGTGACTCTCCATGACAGGAGACAGAAGTTAAGGGTGAATGGGGCTCTCTCATGGTGGGAACCTGTAAAAAGTGTAGTTATCTAAGGTACAATCCTCAGTTCTATTCTCTTTTCACTGTATGTAACTGAATTACCAATTATAGCAAAGTCATCCGTTCTATTCTTCGCCGATGACATAAAGATTTGGGGACCCCTACACAGTATGTCAGATAGAATATTATTACAGGGTGATCTCAACTCATTGGTGGCATCTGTGGGCAGATGGTCACTAGAAGTGAATTCTAACAAGACTGTGATAATGCAAATAAATAGCTATAATGATTCATATCACTACACAATACATGAATTTGTGTTACCCCAAGTAATAAAATAGAAAGATTTAGGAGTCATAATAAGCAGCGATCTCAAGACTAGGAGAAGCTGTACGGCTGCTGCTGCCAAAGTCTTTATAGTATTATGAGCTCTTCGTAGGTCTTTTCAGTATTTGGATGGAGAAATGTTGAGAGTATTAAACACGACTTTCGTGATACCGCATTTGGAATATGAGATTCAAGCAGCAAGTCCTTGTTTCAAGTATGGAGCGGAGACGCTGGAACAAAACCAACGGCGAGGGACTAAAATGGTGAAAGGTCTCTCTGGCCTATCTTATGGAGACAGACTGAGACACCTCAACCTATCTCCGTTATCTTACCGTAGATTACGGGGTGGTCTAATATTGACTCGTCGTATTCCCGTTGTCATATCGTAGAACTTGAGGCGACTTGATTACAGCTTTCAAATTGCTTAGTCATAAATTCTCACCTAACATGCCCTCATTTTTCTTATCTCCCAAAACAGAGAATTTACGAGGACACTCGAAAAAAGTTCACAAGCCAAGAACAAATTACTTGTCAGCTGACTATCGACTTTCCCATCGAATCATCAACGAGTGGAATTCATTACCTGAGCACGTGGTTGAGGCTCCATCCGTCGACTCTTTCAAAATAAAGTTGGATCAACCGAAAGACCACCATTGGCAAGACTAACACAGGCCATCAAGCCTCCTGTTCATCCCAAACTGAAACTGAGACTGAAAACTGAACGATGACCTTGGATTAATATGTCTTATTTTTCCCCTCCGTCTAGGACTGATTATTTGAGAGGATATTTGACGAAAGTTCAAAAAATGCGATTAAATCGTCTACGTTTAGAGTTTCGTTTCTTTCATCGAGTTGTGAATTACTGGGATTCTCTACCAGAACACGTAACATTAACACCTGTTGATATATTCAATTCGAGATTGAACCTGCAGTGTTACAAGCACAAACAACCGAAAAAGGGGAAATAAAGGGGTAAATGCTTTGGAAGAGAAAGGGGAAAACGCAACTAGCTGCAAGGGTTAATATCCGTCGACAGACCTCCTATCCTTATCACTGAATAAGTGTATATTTCCTTCCAAAGCAGATTGTGTCTAATCTTAGGCGCACACTACTTAACTGCTTAATGTCATTCATCCTCTAATCAAGAGGGTTTGGTGGAGCTAAGCAATGTTCTCCCCTTCTGAATCATACTCTAAACCTCAATCTTAAATTTCTCAAGTTTGTAAACATGAAGGTCCTAATGCATTGCATCAGATGGCATCGGTTTGAGTTGAGAAACCCGGCCCAAATTCGCAAACTCAACTCAACACTCCATTTGAGCTCATAATACCTAACCCTGACCATTTTGCATTACAACTGATATCAGTTGGTGGCGAAAACTCTGGTTTGATAATTCTATAGAGTTATAGCTCATAATAATATCTCGACTTTATATATATATATATATATATATATATATATATATATATATATATATATATATATATATATATATATATATATATATATAGACTTGCTATTTCTCCGTAGTCGATGGGATAATTTGGATTGTGTTTTAATTACTATGGTCAAAGCTGTTATCTTACTACTTCGTATTGTTAATTGTTTTATAACTAAACAGCATTTCTTGATTAAGGCCGTCAGTTTATTAATTTTTACGCACTAATCTATGTCATGAGGGGTCGACTTTCGCTCATGCATTAAGCTAAAAGTATGGATGGGATAGAATTGTACTCAATGTTCTGATATTGTATTTGTCAAGTTCTTACAACTTTTAAGTGAATTATGCACCATTGAAGTATAATTTAATTCAGGGTTATCGAAGATCTTATCCTTACAGACTTAAGTGTAAAACAGGTTCCTTTGGTCACGATATACGTAAATTATCCTTAGTTTTTGAAGGATTTAACTCTGATTTTCTTTATTCATCTAGGTCTTGTGGATATTATGACTCTTAGCAGTGTGGCTGAAAAGCTTTTCCAACATTTTAACATTGATACCAAACAGTGGTCATACTCACGTATAACTGTTGCATTATTAGCTCATGAATCTTTTGGGATTGGTTTAGCTCTGGGTTTCTGGATAATATGCTATAAAAAGCAACCAGTTAGGTGTCTCACATCATTTGCTCCCGTTGCCATACAAAACATTTATTCAAAGTATGATCCTACTTTCTCCCTGACTCGTGCTTCCTAGAGGATTGAATTGGTCGGCAAGAAAACTCCGTCAGCTACCTTTATTCGTTTCTTCACAGGCAGATCCTAATCGGATTCTTATTAGTGGAGCAGAGAGTTACGTACTTCGTAAAATATTGTCACCTCTTACTATTCCTGGGAAGATATACATAGCCGTTCTAGTTTCCGGTATTGTCTGCTGAGAACTGGAAGCAGTCTACTTTTTTGTACAAAGCCATCATTTCATAAAAATACATATGACGTTATTTATTTGTGTCACGTATTCACTAAATGATACTTGTTAAATTAAATGCTGGTAATTTTTATGTAAATCATTTTGCTACATAGCTTACTTGTCTAACTCGTATGAAGGATAGTTCAACTGGGTTTATGCTAGGATATGCATGGCATGAAATATGCATTATGGTGGTGCTCTACTCATTTGTATGATAAGCAAAAACTATCTAGTTAGCATTTTATTTCAATATCATAAATTGCGTCCTCATCAGGTTCATTAAAACACCTTGTCAATAGTTGTTTGTGCAAACATGTAATGTTTGACCTTTGGTAGGTTTTGTCTAACCTGAAGGTACTTTGTGTACTTAGAGGGTGTGTGAGGGAGAATCTTGAACAGAGCAAGAGAAAAAATTACCTGACGAATCAATGAGCTTATTGATGCGTTTGTGTTTAATGATGAAAGCAATCGACCGGTAAAACAGGTGTAATATTAATCCGGTTTGGTGATCGAAATTAAAATTGGTTAGTGTTAGGTCTCGAAGAAGTTACATATTGTCCTACTTTGAAAACTTTTTGCGATGGATAGAGTCATAAACAAATTTTAGACAAGTATGGCTTAAGTTATTGAATGTCACCGTCAACTGAGTATGACAGTTAACATTTCAAATCAAAGCGCGTGAAGTAAGTGTTTATAAATGGTAGATAACTACTATTGACCAGGGTCCCTGAATCTTATGTTCAAATATTCAAGATAATGAACAGAATATCGGTCGATCTCTAGTGCATACAGTACGGTGCAATAAGTAGTCAGGTCAGCTTACTAGGAAATAACGTCAAAAAGCATATTGGTATTGAGGTTTTGTCGCGCTAGACTACTGATATTAAGGTTAACATTTTAACTTAAAAATATCTCATGCAATTGGTTCCCTTTATGAATTTAAATAGAGCAAGAACAAACATTGATGCAGAATAGTATGAATTCATATTATTTCGAGGTTTCTCGTCAGCTGCTTACAAACCAAAATTGTGATAGAATTTTTACATGGATATATATATATATATATATATATATATATATATATATATATATATATATATATATATATATATATATAGTTATTATTGTAATCAAGTTATTTACACTCATTTATGTCAATTGTTTCACACTATCTCCATGTAAAAATTCTATCACAGTTTTGGTTTGTAAGCAGCTGACGAGAAACCTCGAAATAATATGAATTCATACTATTTTGCATCAATGTTTTTTCTTGCTCTATTTAAGAATATCTATCGTCACATGGGTTAGAACTTTCAGGTTCGATGCACTAGGAGACTGATTAATCCTATCTGCGGCTGGTTTCTAATAAAGAATAGAGGGGATATCCAGTGGACCCTAATTTTTGAAGCCTTTCAACCGCAATAAGTCCTACAAATAAGGGGCCAAAGAGATTGTGAATCCGCTCGTAATCGGTAACATGTTTACTTTATTCTCAATTTCGTAAAGATTGAGAATAGTAACCATTCACTAAAAATTATGAATAGTGAAGTATTTGACAAGATAAACAGTTGACTGACTGGTGAGTCATGAAACTTCCGTCATGGTTATTTAACTGAACAAGATCAGAACACTATACTGATAACACTTTCGGTCTACAAACGATTCGCGAAATGAATGCTGACTGGGAAGATATAATCTTTAGGAAATTTTATTCGGTAAAAAAATTACATGATTGTTTATGTTAACTTCGATTAGAATTTGGTGGAAAGTTATCAAATATTAAGTGGATATCCCTATATATATACTTTATAGTAATCACATTTCTTACATACTTAAAGTGTGAATGATGGCGAGAAGAGTATCGATTCGTGTGTTGTTCTCTTTGATTGAACATATATTTTGCTTGGTGTTTGCACTTTCATCTCTATTGACAGCATCTGACTTCATGTTTACTTTATATAATTGACTTGAACTTCATATTTCTTGATAAATTGTTGTCCAGGTAATTGTAGATGGTTTTCAGCACTAACTTTCACCAATTAAATGACCACTCAAAATCATGGGACATTGTGTATCTATGATCTAGTCAAGTCTTCAAACTAAGATCTTCATACCTCACGATGAGCACGTTATAATTAGACCAATGCTAAGTCAAAATACGTTGATTTTAATGAATTGGCTATATGATGAGACAATCGTCCCATGGCATTGGCAGGCAACTATCTCATTTCTGGCATGGTTGAAGTTTACTAGTCTGTGACAAAGGCTATCTATAAACTAAATTGATCTCCATACACTTCTGCAGCAAACTATGATATAGTTTGTAGGTATTATTACCAATGTTTGACTTGATAATTTCGAATAAATTGAACATTGGGTAGATTGTTTTAAATAAATAATATTCTTGTTGTTCCGTTGTACTATTTAAACATGGATTAATTTTGATTTGTTACCGATTACGAGCGGATTCACGATCTCTTTGGCCCCCTATTTGTAGGACTTATTGTGGTTGAGGAGCCTTCAAAAAGTATATATATCGGGATATCTATTTAATACTATGTAAACTTGAATTGATTTTTATTTGTTCTCTGAAGAAGTGGCTTACACGAAGTCACGAAAAGTCAGAAGGTCTAATTTTTCTACTCATTGGGATATTACAAATATATTATTTATTTATAGTAATTGCAGTAAGTGAGAAGTGATTTACAGTCATTACTGTTTATTTCGTCTTTCTATAAAACGTCCGAACATATTTTCAACTACAATTCCAATGTGTTACTGAACATGGTTTCTGTGACAAATTTGTTTGACTTCTAAATATGCAAATATTTTAATTTAAAACACAATTTAATCACCAGGGGCAATTAATTTTATAATTAATTGAAAAAACACCGTGAGAATTACTTAGATGGAATTGACAACGGTGAGATAGTTTAGCGGCCCTTAAAGTGACTCCAATTTGACTGTTTCGGATTGTTATTGAAATATACATATCGTCTATCCTCGTATATAATCATCGACTTTAATCGCGTTAGTGAACGGCGTAGTTAAATAAGTCAAATACCAGAATGATGTTGGTTTACACTTATTCCGTACACTGACCTGAATAGACAATCAGAGGAGCGAAGCGAAATGGATCGATACGCGGTGGAGAAGGCCTGTGTTCCCACTCGATTTAATCAAACATTGATCGATATTTATAGTCAGATAAGAATAAGTTACAGACGTGTGATTAGTAAGGTAGGTAATTAGAACACATACGATAGTATAAAACAGGATTAATAAGTGACGAGTTCAAAATGTGACTCAAGAAGAATGAATAAATTGATCCGTCCAGAGGCTAGAATAATCTATGTGTGCTTGACAGTACTAGCCCCTACAACGGAAGTTTATCATTGATTGATTACTGAGCAGTGACTAATGTTATTTTTGGCTAATCTTGTCAAATACCTTCAACCATCCAACATTTCAACACAGTGCACACGTCGTCACGTAAGTTAGACTATTAATCACTTTAATTTGCTTAATAGAATCCGATCGATAATAAAATGACCAAAAGAACATATAACTGGTCATTGCTAAGCAATCAGTTAATCGTAAATATCTAGGTGCTATAGGAGGTAAGTCACAACCTGAATATCTCATTGTCAGCCTCTCAGACTATGAAGCTAGATGAGATAAAATCCGACAGGGGGTATGCAGTGATTAGAAGTATTCGAATTATTGTACGAACTAGGAATCCCAGAAATAACGCAATTAAGGCCAAATAGAACTAAATGAGCACAACCGAACCTATTGTATTTGGAATTCCAAATCAGGCAGTCATCAAGTATTAAAGAGTCATCAGGTCACATGAAGGGTGAGTTTATTATGCCCAAGTGTCATACTTATGTAAAAGAATACATGAATATCGCAAAGGCACGGAAAAACGGAAATGTTAGCATGGGAATATGAGCAAATTAATGAGCGTACAAAAATTTAACATGCAGTATATTAACTAGCATCAAATAACGATGAGTGGATTCGAATTTAAATACGTAGAGTTCCCGTTCGCAGGATAATAATAATCAAGTCGTGAAGTTAAAACTGAATCACTGACAAGTGGACTGAGTCATGTTGGTAGGTGTAGACTACCTGGTTGGGGACCGCGAGATGATAGAAACCGATGGTTAGAGACCCTGAATGACATTGTCCAAAATCGTTTGCAATGGCACAGGTGCACCCACTCTCTATGTTCTCCCAAATTCTAATCTTCTGAATTCTTCATGTCCCTTTTTTCCTCTTTCCAGATTTATTTCACTGTATTATACTCCTTGAATAACATCTTCAAACCCTAATCTTTCCGATTACTGCTTATACTCTTAACACCTCTACCACTACGGGATTCGAATCGACAACTGCATCTCTGTGCTGATGTGGTGTGGCAACTCGGACTGATTTATGTACGTACGAAGTTCTACGTTGTTACTGACTGACTGCATCGACGGGCGATATTCGTTGCTGTACTGCAATCAATAATACTCATAAAATGTGAAATCAGTGTACGTTGTCGTTTGCGTTATGACAAAAGCATCGACTTGTCGTTAAGTATGTATTAGTAGAATGACCAGAGGAACAGAATAGTGACTGAGGAGACGAGATACGTAGAGTCGTATTCCTTTTTGGTCGTGAAGCCTAGAGTGGTTTGCGTGGTTTAAGGGAGATGCGTTTAACCTCGTTTGTTACAAAACCGTACTAAGGCATAATAAAAGTACTATACATATGATTAGCGATGGCGGTGGATGAGACGAACAAGAGTTTATCTTTGAGAACGTTGCTCTAAACTATATGTTCTGGTATACAGTACGATGGGAACA